CAAAAGGATAAGAGAATGGAAGAGCAGGTAACAGCAGTAACAATGTGAAATTGATGGATGAGTGATAAGTAACTTTACAGTCTAGAAAAAAAGCTGAAATGGATGGTGCAAGCATGAGAAAGCCAAGTGCAACTTCAGATCCTTAGGAACTAGAATTCAAGGGATCAGGTGTCTCTGAAATGAGAGGACTACCAAATATTTGTGTAAGAAGCAGCTCCTCTCCCTCCCCTAATTACTAGTGAAGCTTCTTCCACACTTGCAAGAGAGAAGATGGTGATGAACTTTCTGGAAAGATTGATCAAAGGGCCCCTGGGATCAGGAACACCAGACTAAGCTGGAGAAGAAGAGGGAATAGTAGGCCAAAAAGGGGACAGCTTAAATGAAAACCTGCATATAGAAGAATGAGCCCTGTGACTTCCTGCCCGACCCTACTCTAGGACATTGTTACTCAATCTTATGGACTCAACTCAGGTATGTGGAAGAGTTCTCTGGGGCCTGCAGCCTTGCCAAGAAAGAAGACTTGCAGATCCTGACATCTGGGAGTAAGACTAGCCAAGTCTCCCACAGCAAAGCCCAGAAGCTAAGATAGCCTGCCCATGCTCTCGGCACATCCAGCCAATCTTTTTCTGTTTCACTCTTGTAAGTACATGGCAATGGACAGAGATTACCAGAAAAGTGAAGAAAGCACAACAAAAGAGACAAGAGACACCCCCTCCCCCACCCCCAAGCAATCAGCTAAGCAGGAAAACAAAATGAATGTATATGGGTGGGGTGGAAATAAAGAACAGATTGAATCCAGAGAGTAGAATAATAGAAAACAAACGTATTAATAGCCCTAGAAAAATAAGATTGGCAAAACTGAAAAGTGTGAGTAAAACCAGGTTTATCAGTCAGAGTTCATTGGAGGAACAGATATGATACACAATATATATATGTCATATATATCGTGTATCATATATATCATATATATTATACAAAGAATTTACAAAGTGGACTTCCCTTGGCTACCTGCAGAATCAGGGCTGGAGAATGCAAAATGGCTGTCTGAGCTAGAGAGCCAGAGGAGCCAGTTGAAAGTTAAAAGCCTGGAGCTCACTGCAGAGTTCAGGGCGAGTCCATACTGGAAAGCTAGCTGAAGGTCTGCATTTGAAGGCTGAAGAGTCTGTGCTGGAAGACTGCTAGAGACAAACATCCAAAGCCAGTGGCAAAGACTGGAGCTCCTCCAAAGAAGCAAAAGAAGGCAGACTTCCTTCATTTCTTTTTGATTTCATCCAGGCTACAAGCTTATTGGCTGGTGCCTCCCACACCCAGGTGGGTCTCACTGTTTAGTTCATGGCTTACAAGTCAACCATCTAGACATACCCAGAACTGTGCTCCACTAATTAGCTAGGCATTTTTTATTCAAACTCATCCCACAAACTAACACCAAAACATTAGCTAGGATACGGGGAAGGGAAATCTCCATCCATGCTGGTGAGACGATAAACCAATAGAGCCAGAATAATTTGGCAGTATGTGGTAGAGATGATGCGTAAACCTGTGACCCAGCCCCTTTCACTTTAGAAAGGTACAGAGAGATTGAAAGATGTTTTTATTGGGCTGTTTGTAAATATTAAAAAAGAGGAAATAATTGTGAACGATAAGGAAGTAGACAATCAGATATATTCAGAGTAGAATACTGTATAGCTATTAACCACTTAACAGTTTACCCCGAGTATCTCTTGGGGAGTGCATTTGTTTATTATTGACTATCCCAAGCATTGCTCAGACAGGTGTCATTTCAACCAGTTGATTCTTGTATTGAATAAATTTGATAAAATTGTTTTTATATTTTGTTATAAAAATTAATAAAAACATGCAATTTTTGGTCATCCTGTATTTAAATAATTGGGCTGGTAAGTGGTTAAAATGAACAAGTTATTTACTTACATAATATGGATACAGTGAACCCTTGACTTACGAACTTGATTCATTCCTGACAGATGGTTGTAACTCAAATTGGTTGTAAGTCAAGACTGTTTTCCCCATAAGACATAATGGAAATACCCATAAAGCATTCTGAACCTCCCAAAGCAGAATTTACCAGATACCAATAATTTTCCTAGTATATTCACCAAAAAGTTATAAAATATGCCTAGTTTATCAGAAACAATTTCTTACTGTACTCACCATTCAAGTTGATATCTTTGGCTTGTGGGGAGGATGAAATGGAAGGAGGTTATTGTTGGGAAGGAGAGCCCTCTTTCATAACATCAGGAATCTGGCTCTCTGGTATGCCTTCTCTCCTTGGGAGAGTCTGTAGCCCACAAGAACCTGCTTCTGGCTCACTAGGCTTCAACCTTTTCAGAACTAAGAAACTGGTCTAAGGTGGTCTGTTTCTGTCTTTTCTTTAACATTGTTCTGTAATATGATGTGACAGTGTCATTAAGCAAGTAAATGCAACGACTGGCTTTTTCTCTGTCTGGGTGTGTCTTCTGTACAAATGCTTGTAGCTCTGTCCATTATTTTTAGGATTTCCTTTATTTCAGAAGAATTTTGCTGCGCTGATTGTTGATACATCCCTTCCTCTTCAGAAAGCTCCTCAGCTGCCATTCTCTGATGCTCAGCCAGAAGTTGCTGAAGTTCCTCTGTAAACAGTTCCTCAGAGTGTTCCTCCTTCAGTTCCTCAGCATCACCACTGTCTGCCTGCAAGCCTATGGACTCTACTGTAGTGACAGTGATCAACCGCAGGGTCAACTGAAGGCTCAGGCTCCTCTACACAGCCTTCAAAGTCTCTCTCCTGTATAATTTTAGGCCACACTTTCTTCCTGGCAGATCTCAGGGTCCTTAGAGAGACATTAGCCCAGGATTTCTCAGATAACCCCATACAGGAAAGACTGGCATTCAGGTCATAACGTAAGACTTACTTCATAAATTAAAACTAAAATTCTGGTCATAACCCTCATATGTGAGGCTGGTTGTAGCTTGAAGGTGTACCAATAAAATATTGAAGAATGCAAAAATAAGAGTTGTAAAAGGCTATATTTATATAAATTTTAATACATAAAAACCATTATTTGAGGATAGTAGTAATAAGGGCTAACATATACTTTTGATGACTGGCTGTTGTTATCCCCATTCCACTGCTGCAAATACGGAGACATGAAAGGCTGAGAGTAACATGTCCATATTCACACAGCTAGCATGTAGGTAATTAAAGGACAGAAAGGAAGAATGGCATGAGAACATAGGAGCTCCCATTCCCGCCTACCATCTCTGTAGTTTTGCTTTTTCCAGGTCATAGTTGGAAGGATACAGGGTGTAGCCTTTTCAAATTAGCTTCTTTCACTTTAGTAATATGCATTTATTTCCTCCATTTCTTTTTATGACTGAGTATTATTTCATTGTCTAGATGTGTAACCTTGTTTTTTAATGTTTATGTTTTAATGCTTTATAGCGTCTAATGACTAAAACTATAATCTTGGAAACAGCCCAGTGCTGGGCTTCAGGACTAACAGAACCATAGATTCTGTGAATTGGCATGTGTATTTTTCACTGGGTTTGGTTCGGCAAAGCACTCTTTCACTTACTGTTTGGCATTACTTTACCAGCGTCTTCATGCCTGTAATGTGGGCCTGGAGTCAGGAGGGGGCAGCAGTGTCCTTCAGGCAGGACAGTGCTCCAAGTCAGGCACCTTAGAACTGACTCCTCGTTTTGTCGTGAGGTTGTATTTCCACCACAGGATAGGCTTTCGGAAAGATACTGGAATCTTTCCTAAATATATTCCTCACAAGGAATCTCAGTGTTATTTCCCTCATCACGGCTTTCTCTATGACTCATTCTAATTACTTGTGCTTTCTGGTGTGTCTCTTACATTGCAGAAAGAGTGGACTGCTATTATCTGGCATATTAGGGGCAGGGCATCTGCTAAAATAATTATTGTTAACAGTTGCCATATATACCAACTCTTTTTGAAGAGTTGCCAAAGTTGAATTGAGGATTTTGGAGTTGAAAAGATATAATTTAGTATGCCTTCTGTTTTTAAAAAATGAGGAAATTGAGGCTCAAAGAGCTGAATGTGTACAAAATAACAAAGCCAATTACTGACAGAGTAAGAAGCAAGAAATAGGGGCTCCACTCTTCCTGCATGTTTTCTGCATCACAGAATACAATAAAATATACCTAAACTAAAATAAAACTATAGATCATTAGTTAATTTTTATGGGTTGATAGATAAGACTCATTGAAAGAGCTTCATAGGTATATATTCCATAAGATCTGTAATGTAGCATCTGTGATATAGAGTCATAACAGCACTAAAGCTTTTCCATATCTTACATTGAATAAAAGGTAAATTCTTGAGATGAAAAGTGTTTCTGTATGATGTTACAGAAGTTTTAACACATCTGCCTTACTTGTGTAAATATAGATATCATCAGGATACTACGTTTTCTTTCAACCAGAGGGAAACCCCCAAACCTGATACACTAGAGTTGGGTCAGAGATTTTGATTTCATTTTTAAGCTCATAGGCTTTATTCCCTCCTGGGTGGAGACTGTTGGCCACAGGAGTTTAATAATTTGCATTTAAGGTTTGTAGGATAGTTCCATTTGATTTTATCCCAGTCCTACTCTGAAGTGGTTGGGTGTTGGAGAGCTCTAATTGTGTAAGTGCTAAAGTTAGTTTTATGATTTTTCCCTCTAGTGAACTCCTAACTCAGGTACTCTTTAGGTGCCCATTTTTACTATCTTTGCTGGAAACTTAAATAAATGTTTTCTGCTGAACCTTTACTATGGTAACATTCAGTAGTGTTCATTAATATTAGGATATAAATTTTACAGATATCATTGTTATAAACAGACAACATCCTTCATGACTAAAGAAAATGGAAAAGCCTCACTTGAAATGGTAAATAGAATCAAGTTCATTAAACTTGATTTTTGATTTAAATCTTCCAAATAACATCTATAAAAGAAATCTTTAACAAACTACCTGTAAAATATGAATGATTTATTTTGCAGTGTGTGAACTTAAGTCTCCTTCCATGAGTGATTTCCTGTGGGGGCTGGAAAACTCCGGCTGGTTACGGCACATTAAGGCCATCATGGATGCAGGAATCTTCATTGCAAAGGTATGAGATTACCAAGGAAAACCAGGGGTAGATCAGCAAGCCACTGTGACTTCAAAAAGGTGACCTCCTTCCTCCCTATCAGCTCCCCTGTGCTAAGCCGTGGTAACACAATATAGGTAGCTGGCTTTGCAGACACCCCCATGCCTCCATGTGTTTTGTCCTTGGAAGTTGTAATTTTGCAAAAGGACACATGCTCAGTTGATAGTATGTTACACAGTGGTAAAATGGGAAAATATTTCTAGAATATTCTCTTTTCCGTTAGGCTTAATCTGGTATGGGAGTATAACAAATGTGAGTCACTTCAGTAATAGGGTCTTACAGATTACCTCCAGTAGACCATTCTTTTTAGTCTTGATGTAAACCAAAGTTATATTCCACTTACTGGCAGGTAGATTCCACTTTACCATAGGAAAAATCTTGCTGCAACTTTTCACAATGCTTTTTTAATGTATTCTATTTTGTTGTTCAGTGTTTCTTTAAAATACGTTCCTTTTAGATTTAAAGAGAACCGTGTCTTTTTTGATGACATGGTAGGCTGCCCTTTATTAGATAACCATTTACGCAACAAATATTTATTTAGGGCCATGTACTGTTCTAGGTGTACTGTTCTAGGATGCAAAACTAGATCAAGTCTCTTTCCTCACAGAACTGACACTCTGGTATGCTAGACAAAAAAAAAGAAAAACGAAATTTTAGGTAGTGATACATGCTATGATGAAATCTCCACCATGTTTCCCAATTTTTATTTCCTGCCAATGCATGCAACTAAAAGTTGTGCTTACATTTGCAATAACAAATAGAAACTCTTTCTTAGCAGGACCACTCCATTCATCACTTGGCTTGTGTCCTTTTATCTGTTACTTTATATTTTAATAATTTAGAATTTTTGCACTTTTTACTTTCTGGAACTGGTTATAGGTAGTCACAACCCTAGATTTTAGTAAAGCTTAACATGGAAACCAGAGGCGAGGAAAGAGGTTGAGAGTGGTTGAGAGGATAGGTCATGAACCTATGCTTGCATAGGGAGCATGTTATATTTAGCAGATTTGCTAAATCTAGAGATATTAGATCTCATAGATATGCTATACTTGAAGCCAGTGTCCTCTCGATATAATCAGAAGGGAAGGAAAAACCTATCTGCCAGCACTAAACCACTCCTTGGCTTTGCCTCAGTGGGGCTGGGCTTAAACACTAAACAATGAACATGCTTGTTTTGTTTTGCCTATTTCTTTAAGTCTATAGCCAGTCCTAGTTCTGATTGCTCATCGGGTGTTTTTTAGGCAGTTTCAGAGGAAGGGGCAAGTGTGCTTGTTCACTGCTCGGACGGCTGGGACCGGACTGCTCAAGTGTGCTCAGTGGCAAGCCTCCTCCTGGATCCCCACTACCGGACGCTGAAGGGCTTCATGGTGAGTGTGGCTGCTGAGCCTTTCCCAGAGAGAGGCACTGCCTGGACCAGCAATGGGTCTCTTTTTAGAAACTTTTGGCAACTTATTTTTCTCCACCACATTATTTTTCTCCTAGTAGATCAGCAAGGTTAATAAAAGATGAAAAAGGCTTGGAATCAAGAGGTGAATTTCTGAGATAATTGAAACCAATTCAAATTGGTGCTCCTGAATATTAATTTGAGACAAATTTGGTTTGAAAAAGTTTTATACAGGGCCGGGGATTTAGCTCAGTGGTTCCGCCGCCTGCCTTGCAAGCGGAAGGACCTGAGTTCGATCCCCGGTACCAAAAAAACAAACAAAAAAAAAGTTTTATACATAATTTGCTCCTAAGTATTTTCACATTTGGGATAATGTGTGAATTAGAACACATTTCAAAAAACAATATTTGGAAAAAATTTTCTATATTGTGCATGCAAATACTCCTTAGGTTTCTGTTTTTTAAGTAGTCCTTAGGTTTCAGTTTGTTTGTGTTCTTTGCTGAAATGAGCCCATCTTCTCCTGGAGCTTAACCTCTTAGATGTGCATCACAGTGTGTAACTTGTTGCTTCCACTTAACAGTTTCCTGGGGTAACTTTTGGCTAAACTGGTACAGTACCCTCAAAATGACTGGTGACTATGCGATTACCTGGCACCTATGTCTTGAACTGCAATTTGTCAGAAAGCACTTCAGTGAATCCAGAACATGCTAGGGACAGATCCTGACAGAGGAGCCCTATTGGACACTGTTACTGCTAGATCTCCTTTAGCAAGTAGTATCAGCTGACACCCTGGGGACAAGAGACAAGAAAGAGACAGGCTTCCCTTTTGGACCTTTCCTTTTTGGAGGAAGTGTCTAAGAACTTCTAATTACCTGTGCTGCTTTGAGACTTGAGAGGGACACACCCACTTCAGATCTCTCTCCTGGACTGAGGGTAGAAGGGCTGGATTGCTTTGTTTACAGCTGGAGAGTAGAAGGGCATCCAGACCTATGGTCTGCACTCCACCTTCCATGGATCTTTCTCCTGCACAGCGTCCTTTTCTGCCATTGACTCAGCCTAATTGGGCCACATTAAACCATTAAACTTGCAACACATTGGGAAGAAAATGTTCAAATGGAAAGAGAAAGAGGAGCAAGGGAAGAGGGAGGGAGAAAGGAAGGAAGGGACAAGAAAAAAAAGTGAAAATAGAAGGAAAAAATGGAAACAAAGCATTTTGTACATAGGGAGGGGAGAGACTTGAGGGGGGGAATAGGATAAAATTAAAATTTATTTAAACTTGCAGCACAAAGTAAATGTTTAGACTAAAATGCATTTACAGTTGTCAAGTAAAGGCTTCAACAGTCCATCTGTCTTTCTAGGGGAAACTAATGGCCGTATTAAAGAAAGCACTGGTGATATTAATAGGACCATTCTATATTATATAACATTTTTTAAAAAATCCTGTTTCAGACTGTAAAGTCATGGTAACTGTAACTCCAAGCAGGGCCAAAACTTGTAATATACCCCAAAACCCAGTGATTTTAGAATTATTCTACTGTGAGGTAAAAATCACTGGAAAACATTGCTAATGGTTTCTTGTTGAAAGGTAGGTATTTTATATTATACAGACAGGCAGCATCATATACTAGTTAAGAAATATGGTTTGGAAGAGAGAAGTCTAAGTTACAAAGTGTTACCTACTCCTTCCTAGTAGCACTATCTTGGGTGAATATTTAATTTCTCTTTCCTTCAGTATTGTCTTCTCTAAAATGACAGGAAGAATAATACCTGTCCCACAGTTAAATGAGATCACATATGAAGCAAGGTGAAATGCCTGGAACAGTGGGTGGTGTTATAATTTCACATGCCAGTTCTCATTTATTTTTCTTATGGATGCCCTTGAACTTTACCCTTCCTGTATGCATCGGTAACTAATGTGTTCTAATTCATTTGTAGGTTACCTGAGGGTAGTGATGTCTGTTCCAAGTACTTCTGAATCCTGTAACCTTACTGGTTGTGGTCTCTTATTTCGCTTGTTTGATTCTCCTCATACATATTTTTTCTTGTGTGTAGGTATTAATCGAAAAGGACTGGATTTCCTTTGGCCATAAGTTTAATCACAGGTAAAAGATATTTCTAAATTTGTTGTTTTGGATGTTTATTAAAAAAATACTTTCTGAAGTTTCCACTGGTGTGTCTAGGGGAAAACAGTCTTGTTTTGTGAAAGATATCTTACTTTGTATATTTTATTTGGAAAGTTCATATTTTGTTGTATACGTTATATCAAAGATAAATGAAGTTCTCAAACTCTGATTACCCTCAGTATTAGTTGGGCAGAACTAATGTTAAATTGTCCCAGAAAAGACAGTGTTTGCACATTCATTGATTTAGAAAGGATCGACTTTCCTTTCTTCCTTCTATATACATTTGATTTACTGAATTATTCCATTTTAGAAGGGTCCATGTTCACTTTAGGCTGCAGTTTGTGAGATGTCTGTGGAACAGTTTCTCTGATCTTTCACAGTGGCAATCAGATTGAGCTATTCAAAAAACATTCATGTCACAATGAAGCTTGTCCCAGATGTCTCTGGAGATGTAATATAGGACAGTGGCCAAGGCTTTGGAGCCAGGCAGAACCAACTCCAAATCCAGGCTACTGTATTTACTGTCTTGCCTGGGCCACTTTATTTTCTCACCTTTGGTCTCCCATCTGTGGAATGGAGATGTCCTCCTTACTCCATAGCATTGTGGCAAGAATTTTTTAAAAGTCTGTGTAACTAGGATCTTTCATACCTTGTCCAGATAATAGGCTCAGTAAACAGGAATTATCATTTATGGAGACTTTAGCCGACTTTTGTCAATGTTGATGATAAAGCCTGTCTGGTATTCTCATGGTCTCTAATCTCTGACATGGAAGTATTTAGAATTTCATTAGATATTTTGATACACATTTTTCTCTCAGTGTGTTTTCCTGAAATAAATTCTAAGTTCATACAACTACGAATAAAAATTTTTGGCTTTTGTTTTCACTTTTTGGTGGCAGTAGGGATTGAACTCTAGGAGTGCTGAGTTACATACCCAACCCTTTTTAAATTTTATTTTGAGACAGGGTCTTGTTGAGTTGCCCAGGCTGACTTTGGACTTGCCATCCTCTTGCTTTAGCCTCCCGTGTAGCTGGGATTATAGTGTTGTTACTATGCCTGGATTTTTTTTTTTTTTGGTACTGGGGATCGAACTCGGGTCCTTGCACTTGCAAGGCAGGCGCCAGAACCACTGAGCTAAATCCCCGGACCATGTGTCTGGATTTTTATGGTTATTGTATTTAGCATTCATTGACCATTAATTCTGTGGTTTTCTGGAATTCTGTTTTTATAATTATTTTTCCAGAAAGTAATAATTGCATTTTACAAGTGAGAAATCCCTCAACAGTTAAGTAAATTTCTTAAGATTGCACTGTTATTTTCAGTTTTGAGGTTTTGTTGACTATCTGCTAGGCAGATAAGCTCTTTAAAGTAGATGACAGAATATGGAAATACCTGAAGACCAACTGGATAATTATCTGACTGACGAGGAAAGAATATATTAAGCAACCTTTTTTAAATCTACCATAGGTGAATGGAACTGAAACTTTTGAAAAGTTTCAAACAATTTCTAATGTTTCTACTTTTGAGAAAACTCTTAAAGTAACATTGCTCAATTCTGTTCCCTGAATCTGTCACCAATTACTGAGAAGATGAGGTTCTGCATTGTTCTAATGGCATCCAAAGCATCCTTTTGGATGCTTTCTAAAAATCACAGAAAAAGGCCTAGAAGTCTTCATTGAAAATTAATATAACTGTAGTGAGGAAGACTGGTGTATTCTGGAAAAACAAAAATAAGAGGTATAAAGAAGTTTCTGTAGAATCTATGGCCACATGAAAATAAAAGATGTCACAAATTTTAACTCTGCTATAGGAATGGGAATATTCCTAGAAACCTGAAAAAAGCTATTTTTTCAACTTATCTTTCTTTCTCATCCCTTCTCAGCAAACACAGCAAGAATGAAAAAACTTGAGGTTGCTTAGAAATTTCTTCTCACTGTCCCATTAGTCACTAATAATGTGGAAGATCTATTTCAAACATACTAATATGTTTTTAAAGTTTGAATTTTAAAAATGCTTTTTCCATGGAAAGTTCTTGAGTTTTATTGCTAATACTAACACTGTATTTTTGTAACTGCAACAAGAACATGTTCTCTTCACTATCTAGACTGTCATTATAATGTCTCTATCAAAATTGGAATTTTAGAAGTTATTTTTCCACTTCCTTATTTTGAGCTTATAGATTTAATTAGGAACTAAGGTTGCTTTTATGATAGATTTTGCATTTATAGCTTTCTAATTTAAAAAAACCCTTACCTTAGAAAGGCTTTAATACTTTGTTTTATAGATATGGCAATCTAGATGGTGACCCCAAAGAAATCTCACCAGTAATTGACCAATTCATTGAGTGCGTCTGGCAGCTAATGGAACAATTTCCCTGTGCCTTTGAGTTCAACGAGAGGTTTTTGATTCACATTCAACATCACATTTATTCCTGCCAGTTTGGAAACTTCCTGTGTAACAGCCAGAAGGAGAGAGGAGAACTCAAGTATGTGCTTTCATGTTTAATTTTTATCTAAATATTTTGGCAATTGAGAATTTCAGGTGGCCTTTCATGATTTTGAAGATTTCATTAGTTATATATATATACGGACAGATTAAAGATCTTGCTCCTGAACATTTCATAAATGATTTAAATGTCATCAGCTGTTAGAGATATGTGCAGGTTATTTTTCCTCCGGTTTCTATCTGATGCACAGAGACAAGTTAGAAGACTTTACACATTAATATTTAAAGGGAGCTTTCTGGAGTCCAAGTAATTCTTGCATTTGAAAGGCAAAAGTTAGGTATTTTAGGTGGAGATAATGTCATAATAAAAATGCATATATAACTAAGAAAGCAAACCTTGAAACTCAGGCCCCTGTTAATTTAGATTAAAACTGTATTATATTATCCAAGGGTAAAGATAGATAAAATATGGACTTTCAAATAATTATAAAGTAAAAAACTTCAGGTGATTTAGAAAGGGCAAATGAGAAAACATTGAGATTTTTTAGAGGATGATTTTAACTGTGGTAAATGCAGTATCAGATTTAATTTTAGAAGTGGTTAGTTCAAATAAAACAAACTCCAGTAGTTTTATACCATCTAAGTTGAACAGAAAGACTTTTCTAGTGGCTATAAATGGAGATGATTTAAAAGTAGCAGAGTAAATAGATTCATTCACCTATTTTCTTAGATAGTTTGTGATTTATTGCCCTGGACTATCCAATTCTAGCAGCACCTTCTTGGGTTTTTCAAGTCCTGGCTTTTCCACTCATTAGCTATGAGGCTTTAGGGCACTACTTTATCTCTCCATTGCTTAGTTTCCTCATGCAGAAAATGCACATACCTCATAGGAATTCAGTGAGGATTACATGAGAGGAAACAAGTAAAGGATTTAGAATAGTGCCTGGCAAATAATGAATATTCAGGGGATATTTGAGAAAAAAGAAATTATAGAGCAGTTTTTTTAATCCTCAGAAGAATTAAACATCTTGTCAAGGCTAGTACAGAAGGTAGAAAAGTTGAAAGTATTACAGTGTGTTTCTACTATACCAAGAAACCACTAGCAGAGATAAATCTGCCTGCTACAAAGCAAGGACACTTGATATTCATATAACTACTGGTTCCTTTCCAGCTTTATTATTATATATCTACTCTTCATAAGAAGCAAGATTGGTCATCTTCAGACTTATGTTTTCTTTATAACAGAATTCAGGAAAGAACATACTCTTTATGGGCTCACTTGTGGAAGAATCGGGCTGACTACCTGAATCCTCTGTTTCGAGCTGATCACAGTCAGACCCAGGGAAGCCTTCATCTCCCTACAACTCCGTGCAACTTCATGTACAAGTATGTAAATGTTGAGGAACTTTCTAGCTATGGTGTGAACGTAGATTCTAGCACTGTTAACATTCAGAGCCAAAGTATGAAAAGTATAAAACAGTGCATTTTAAGACTTTTCTAGACACAAAACCCACTGGAGGAAGATGCTTGACTATCTTGACTAGCGTTTTTGGCAGTATCTCCCTGACCATCCTCCTACATGTGGAATTTTCTTTAGAAGTTGATGTTTTATAATAATGATAGCTTAAAAATGTATCTTTGAATTTTTTAAAAAGTGAAAGTGAACAACAAAGAAAACCAAATGCCTTTTAAGTCAAATAGGAATCACAAATTTTAATAGCAGTCATGATGTAGCTTACTTGGTGGAAATAAATTGTCTTAAAATTGTATGATTGGGACAGGTAGAGCAGAGTGATCTCCTACAGGTTCTATTAGGTATTTCTAGATTTGTGTAATATGTGTTATTCTTTGGTGTCTTCTGTAGTCTTGTATGATATTAAAAAATGACTCAGGTTAATAGACAAGCACACACAGAATAAACTGGGAAACCACATTCCTCCTTACTCTTTTCCAACACCTAGTGGGTTTTTTTCTTTATAGGTTTTATTCCTTTTGATGGCTTTGTTCTTACTTATTCCAGTATCAGTATTTCCCCAGATGTTTTTACAGAATATTAATTTTCTGTTACTAAGAGCAAAATACCTCTACAGCTTGTGTAAAACAGCATTTTTTTTGGTCTTTTTTTTGAGACAGTGTCTTCCTATGTAGTCCAGGCTGGCCTTGAACTTGTAGCAATCTTCCTTCCTCAGCCTCCCAAGTGCTGGGATTATAGGCATTGTCCTACCACACCTTGCTAAAACAGCATTTTTAAAAGCTGTTGAGACACTCTGCAATTGTTTGTATTACAACTGATTTATTATTAATAGCTAAATGTTATTAATAGTCAAGTATTTTACTGAGGATCAAGCACTGTTCTAGGCACTGTGGATAAAACAAGACACTAAGTCCCTGTTCTCAAAGTACTTTTCTGTTCTCAATAAGAAAATGAACTTTTCTGTTCTAATAAAAATCAAAGGCCCTGTGATAACACTCTGGCAAACCATTTATTCTTAATAGCATTCTAGTACAGTAAAATTGTTTAGTATAAAAGGTGATGACTTACTGCAAATACATATGTCGGATTTTGGTGGCTGCGATTAAAAAAATCTGAAAACTTCAAATATAAAAGCCTCCCTTTGCAGACCGAAGATTATAAACATATAATCACTAGTTTTTGAAATTCAAAATTAAGAGCCATTTGAGAGACAGAGAGAGAGAGAAATGGTAACATTTGCTGCTTCAGTCTATTACAGAAAAATATATGCCTTCTAATTCAATATTACATATACAAGTAGACTCTTTATGAACTTATTCTCCCCAAAAGAACTTTACTGAACCAAGAAAAAACATCAACATGTTTAGTAGTGGCTTTTTCCAGCTTGTAGCTTGCATGTGGTTATTATGAAGACTAGAGAATATGTTATTAAATATGCACAACTTGAGAGTGTGAACTTTCAGATTGGGATATGGTAGTATCATAAAGCTCTGCTTTCCTTCTCAGGTTTTGGAGTGGGATGTATAACCGCTTTGAAAAGGGGATGCAGCCCCGACAGTCAGTTACAGATTACCTTATGGCAGTGAAAGAAGAATCCCAGCAGCTGGAGGAAGAACTCGAGGCCCTAGAAGAAGTAAGACCCGCTTGATATTGTTAATTTCTTTTCTGTGCTTACTTCCTGAAGATCACTGTATGGAAGCCTCTCAAGACTCAGTACAGAAAATGAGACAACAGCCATTTCTTCTCTTTAGCCAGTGAATAACCTAGAGCATTCTTAGCCAAGTAAGCAGCCAGATAACCAAAGCCCAAACCTAGGCATTTAGTGCATTTTAGACAGCTGGCTTGTGGGTTACTTCAATTTGCTGAATGACTTGGCAACTAGCCAGTATTTTTTGTTATTATTCATGAACACTAAAATGATTTTTTTTCTAGAGAAAAGAAAAAAAATGGGGGTGGAGTATTAGAGTAAAATCAGGTCATGTATCTTTTCTTTTCTTTTTTTTTTTTTTGGTACCAGGGATCGAACTTGGGTCTTTGCGCTTGCGCAGCAGGCGGTGAAACCACTGAGCTAAATCCCCAGCCCTAGGTCATGTATCTTAATAAAAATCCACTTCTCCATTTTTAAGAGTTCCATGATATATTAATTTCTAAATGATAATAGTTGTGATTGGCTACAGTCTATTTTGGACCTATAGTAGGCCAGGGAGGCTGTAATGTATGTAAATGCTTTTTTTACTTGGATAGTTTGTTTCTAGTGATATCACTAGTTAAGTTGGTCACCCAAACCCCTTGGAGTCTTTGCTTCAGTTGCTTCTCTCGCCTTCTTAAATTCCTACATCATGTCATTTACTTGCTCAAGAACTGGTGATAAATTCCTAATGTTTAGGACCTGAATTCTGAATTGAGGCTGAATGTTATAAATACAAAGAAAAAGAAAATTTTAAGATCACATAGTGTGGAAAAAAGTATTAGGATTAAGGCTGGGAAACTGTCAAGATCCTTCATTATACCTCATAAAGCAATAATGTGACTGGAAGAGAATTCCTAGTTCCCTCCCAATTGATGAATGTCTAAATCAAAGTTAGCAAAATATCACAAATTGAATTTGAAATCTTCTCCTTTGCCCAGTGAGTACTTACTTTCAGATCACCACTGAGAATGATGGGCTGGGGGAATGAAAATGTTAAGATTATTATTAATAATAAAGGTGGCCATTTAGAGGTAGCTGAGTAGGCTGACTCCTGTTTCCCTCATAATACTCTTGAAAACACCACCTTTCAAGTTATAAATATTGTGAAAGATCTTAGATCTAGGGTTGGTTGCAAACTAAGTGCAAGACAGATCCAGACTGGTAAAATGGACTCAAAAAGTTAAACTGTTAATTTTGAGAACTTTTGAGACCAAACATGACTGGTACTATAACATAAATCTTCCACGGTCAAATAAAACATCCTTGGACCCATATGAGAAGCTCTGACTTACATCATTATGTTTCACTTTACTGGAGAAGTAGTTTCTAACAGTGTCTGTGCAGTAAGATCACCATCTTACAAGGAATTCTGATACTTGGGCACCAAGCCTAGAAATTCCAAATCTTTAGAGACAGATGATTGTGAATTCACCCAGGGATGAGAGACCGTGAATGCTCAGTGGTTTTGCCACCTGCTCCTCAAGTGCAAGGACCCAAGTTCGATCCCTGGTACCAAAAATAAATAAATAAATAAATAAATAAATAAATAAATAAATAAGGGCCAGGGATTTATCTCAGTGGCGCTGCATCTGCCTGCCAAGTGCAAGGTCCTGAGTTAAATCCCCAGTACCAGAAAAATGAATGAATGAATGAATGAATGAAGGTAAAGATAAAATGAGACACATTTTTGGAATGCTGGGACTGTTGTAGACCTTTTGTCTTACAGTCCCTTTATATCATCATTGGCCAGTTATATTTATTCTTCCTAAATACATTCAAGCTTTATGAAAATATTAGGATTCTGTTGTCTATTCTAGCATTCTTTTGTTACAATAATTTTAAAAAATTATTTAAAATATTTAAAAGTACCTTAATTTTAAAATATTGGCTGCTATTTCTTTATAACAAAGATAAAATTTCTAAAAGGCTGAGGCAGTGGAATCGAAGTTCAAAGTGAGTCTGGGGCAATTTATTGAGACTCTGTCTCAAAATATAAAAAAGGAGTGGGAGTGGAGCTTAGTGCAGAGGCCCTGGGTTCAATCCCCAGTACCACAAGGAAAAAAAATTATTAGCCCAGCATTTGAGATTTTCCTGTAATCTAGTTTAAGACACTTTTTTCTATTTTCTACTATTTCCTCCTTGCTAAAATTGAACATGTCTTCTGCTTTTCATCAATACTTGACACCTTTGTATCTTTGTATTTTTCCCCCACTGTCCTTCCTGCCGACAGTGCTTTCTAACCATCACCAGAATTTTAAGTTGAAGTTTAAGTCCTTTACAGTTCTGTTAAAATAACCTTTCCTAAAGCTCACTCCACTGTATCCCCTCAAACTGTCACAGCCCAACCCTCTTAAATTTGCCTCTTCCAAATTCCTAAATAACACTGTCTCTCTTGATTATAACACTCCAAATTCTCTATGGCTATATCTGGATTCATCTCTGTTATATTGACCAGCATAGTGCTTCTGCACTAATAATTTATATAAATGCTTTTTGAATCTGTATATAATACTTGATCTTATAATACCTCTCCTGCTGACTTAATGGATAGTCTGGTAAAATGTATTTTGAAAAGCCCAAATGTCCATGATTTGATGCTTGGAGAAACAAAATGTGATATTATCCATGTAATGCAATATAATTCAGCCATAGAAAGCAATGAAATACTGGTATGTGCCACAATATGGATGATCCTTACAATCCCATTGAAACAAAATCCAAAATGTGCAAATCCACTGAGATATAAAATCATTTAATGGTTGCCAGGGGCTACGAGGAGTATTTTTTTTCTTGAGAGGGGGTGATGAAAATGATTTAAGGGCCAAGGATTTAGCTCAGTGGCACTGTGCCTGCCTCGCAAGGGCCAGGTCCTGAGTTTGATCCCCAGTACCACAAAAAAAAAAAGGTTTAAATTAGTAGTGATGGTTGTACAACCTTGCAAATATACTAAGAACTATCAAATTGTATACTTTAAAAAAGTGGATTTTATGGTAAATTAATTATATCAATAAAATTAAACACATCATTTCTCACTTTTAAAAAACATTTTTGAGTTCAAAGGACACAAATCATTATGTAAAACCATACCAGCATAAAAAAAGGGACACTATAATAGTATGTTACATTGTTTACATTTATAGAAAACCTGTGGAGGCAAGTATTACCAGCCTTACATTAGAGATGAGGAAAGCCACCTCTCAGAATTTATTTTGACCAAGGCCATAAATTCTAGGTTTGAACCCACATTTAAGTTCCATGTTCTTAACATTCATTATATCATCTGCCAGGTAATAAGTACCTAAGCACATATATGCGTGTGTGGTGTGTGTATAAATAATTATGATTTCTTCTGTAAAATTATTTCATTTTCAGAGATTAGAAAAGATTCAGAAAGTGCAGTTAAATTGCACTAAAGTGAAGAGTAAACAGAGCGAATCCAGCAGACCCTCAGGGTTTTCTACCTCGGACAACAGCACAGCCAACACACCCCAGGATTACAGCGGGAACCTGAAGTCCTTTCCTTCTAGGAGCCCTTCGCAGGGTGATGAAGATTCTGCTCTGATTCTAACCCAAGACAATTTGAAAAGCTCAGATCCAGATCTGTCAGCAAACAGTGATCAAGAGTCTGGGGTGGAGGATTTGAGCTGTCGGTCTCCAAGTGGGGGTGAGCATGCACCAAGTGAAGACAGTGGCAAGGACAGGGATTCTGATGAAGCTGTGTTTCTTACTGCCTGAAGTTTCCCTCTGGAGCCCCACGGTGAAGGGCCCATGAAAACACTTCCAAAAATAAGGGAACAGTGCAATTCAAAATAACTCAAGAAATGGAACGTGTCATCCAGAATTATAAAATATAGCTATGGAAATGGAAAAAGATATCCCTCTCTTAGTTTCTTTAGATTCTGAAGAACTGGAAGTAGCCAATTCTTTTATCAAATATAAGGAAAATTATGTACCATTTTGAAACTCACTCTAGACTGAAAATTGTATTCCTCCTGACCAATTACTTCTGAGGTTAATATAAATCTTCATTGTCATAGCATGTATCTACTCAAAAAGGCCTCTGACCCCTTTCCCTCATACCTGTTATCGTCTTGAACTTTTCCTCTCATTTCACCTCCAAGGCATAGTTTGTATTTTCTAAAACATTTGACATCACTTTTCCCTTCTGACCCTGTTACCAATATTTCTAAAAGTAGGGCACATTGTTGAGATGCACTCTTTTTAATAGATGTACTCCTAGGGAGATTTGACATTGTTTAAGCTTTTTTTCATGTAGAATAATTACTTTAACTTTTTTTTAGGTAATATATTTTGAAGTGTTATAATTTTGTCCACTTTCTCTGAAATCTCTTCTGTTTCCCTCATCATTTAAAAAATGCTGAAATTTATAACTCGCTTTTTCTCTAACATGGGTCTAATACCTAATAAAATAGAAGCAACATGAAATCTCTGGGTCTTACATATGAATTCAGATCACATTAGCATTCTTGATAACAACCTTTTATTACTATTTCAGAGACTACAGCTACCAGCCTAATCACAAAGTATAACATTGTAAAGTTAGTATGGTAAATTATCAGCAAGGGAAAAATATCAGTTAAGAATTAGAGAATTGCATCATCATGCCCCCTATAAGTAGGGGGAACTAGTTACAGCATCTGTCATTTTAGAAATTATGTAATTGGTTAATGTGGTTAATTAACATTAGTAACATAAGATATCCACTGCTTAATGATGAACATTAGCTGTGAAGTTTTCATTTTATTAAAATGCACATTTGAAACAGAATCATTCTCCTATGTTATGCCAAAAAGCAAACCTTTACTTTTGAAGAAATAGTGGAGAAAAGTTGCCATGTTTGAACAAAGAGAAATAATATTCACAGTGTATGGATTAACAATATTAGTACAATCTAGAATTAAAAGGATTCATTTAAAATTAATTTTTACAGTTTATATGGTATTTTATTAAATGTGTTGATCTGTATAAGGGAATATTAAGTTTTGCTGAAATGGGAACAAGGTAAAGAAAAACGGCAAGAAAGTGACAGCGTTGAAATCTCTAGTATGAACTATTTAGAGCATAGTAATATATATGAGTGAAATAGTATAACTGCAATTGTGTTCATCAGACTTAAAAATAGAACAATTTTAATATATTAAAAATTTGTAATATAAAAGTACTGTTAATGTAAAAAAATAAAGCAAGTGCAATTCTTCTTTTAATATAAAATTTGAGCATTTTCTGCTGAGTTCCTAAATTAAGTGCAGCAAATGTTTATTCCTTTTCTGTAGTATAGTATACAGAATAGGGAACACTATGCTAATAAATACTTAGGATATAGTGGCAATGGCTTTTATACATAACTTACTTCATGTCATTCTTATAACTATCCATTTTTAGAAGTTGTTTTGCCTAATACTGGAGATGTGGTTTTAATTTTTTCTAGTTGGCAGTGTAATTCTACAAAAGCAGTCCTTTTTGTTTTAAATGACACTGTCCATGCCAAACAGGACTATGCATTTATTGGGAAAGTTAAAGAGTATATTGGATATTTTACGTTTTAATATTTTAATGTAACATCTTCCACATCAGAGCCGTAAACATTTTAGTCCCCTCTGCCTTTTTACAAGACATTGTAATTTAAGTATATGTTCATTTATCATGCTACTAGGAGTTAACACTGAATCTACATAAAAGGTTACATTATTAAAACTTATGAAAACTGTACTGTGCTTTCAGTCTTGATAAAGCATGGCCAATCTAAACAAAACTAAAATTTCTAACACTACATTTTCCTTTTAAACTTCAATCAGGAAGTGTTTTGCTATTTATAGAAATAAACAAGTGTGTATATCTGACATTAGCATATTACTTCCCAAATGGTAATATTTAGAGCTAAAGTGATTTATTAGTCATACTAAGGTAAATATGATATTAAATAGGTAAGAATTTTGATCATCATTAAGCACACCAATAGCTGAATTTTTACAGACTAAAGGAAGGTAAAGGAAAGGGGATAAACCTGGAATAAATTTTTATTTTTTTAAGAGCACATGATTAGTTTACTTTCCTATCATAACAATGTCTTGGAGTTGTCCTTCAATTTAACCATATACAAATTATGGTCAGTTTTTCTCAAATAACCTTTCATCCAATATACATTACTTAGTCTCAGTTTATTTGTAAGGATTTCTTTTGACTTTGAAATGGATATCTTTAGTATGTATCTTAATGATTTAGACCTTTCTTCTATTTTGAAAGGCTAGCCAAACCTCTATCCTAGATAGCCTAATAACTCCTAAACTTTGCTTTACAGTTTTCATTTCCATCAAGTCTTCTATTAAATATTATTGTACAAAATCAGAATGTGTACTTTGGCATGCATTCCTGTAGCAAATTATTACAAAGAATTATAGGCATAAAAAATTTTAAATCATTTAATTTCTACTGCAGTAACAGAACCCAGACATTCAAATGCAGACAGACATATTCAGATGCAGACTCTTTTCATCCTAAATGACATACATAACCTATATTTGATCTAATTGTCAATTTGTTAGATGCAAGTAATTGAGATCACACTGTAATGACTGGTTTATAAGGAGGTTGTCTAATTTCAAAGGACAAACTAAGCTCCATGGTATGGAATAAAACAGGGAGAATCCAAGTTTAAAGAAAAAAAGAATTACTCAAAATGATTGTGTGTGTGTGTCTGTGTGTACTGGAAGGTAAATAAACACCTAAATGCTGTTCAAGTTATCTTTGTATAGTATTTCCACAATGCCTTATTTTTAGTAGGTGCTTAATACAATTAGTAGATCAAATGAATTAATGTTCTTTTAGAAGGGCTCTGGACTGCCTGCCTCTTGTTCTAGGATATACCTGGTTTCTAAGAAAGCTACTTGATTTATAAAAAGTTGGGACTGTTGCATCTTACACTGACTTCTGGGAATATTAAGCTCTGATGGCCAGGGCAATATGGAAATGTTTCTGAATGCCCAAAAATCTCAATTTGAAACACTATCTCTTACCTTAGTAATCTCATCTATAAATAAAAGATAATCATTTTACCTGCTTCATTTGTTCATTTTGAAAATTAAATAGTGTACCCTTGGCACAGTGCCAGGAAGACAAGCAACTAATAAATTATTTTCTATATTCAGTAGTATTTTTATAGTCCATGTGAATATTTGCCTTCTATAAACATAGACTAAATATTAAGTATTTTTCAATTCTAAGAACATAATTTTTCCCTAAAACTATTGCCAAAAACATTCTTAAAATGAAAACAAGACAATCTGTATGATGAGCTAGTGTTCGAATGGCAATCAAAGTATGGTGACATTTAAACAGAACTATGCGTTAGGTTCTTTTATGTGATTTAGATACTACTTTACCAAACCTCCAATATATAATTCAGAATTTATCTCCTATTTATGAACTTTTAGGGCCACTCATTTGATTCATGTATGGATGTAATTTTAGAACTTCACTGAGCTATGGACTTAAGATCTGTGTACTTCATGTTTATCAACCTTAATAGATGTGTTAATCTGTATTAAATGTTTTAAACATTGCAAAGTTAACTTTACCTAATGGTGTCTCAATAACATCCCCAAGTCCTTTCATTTTCTCTTCATAAGGATCAAGACATTTGCCAAGTAGATCATCAGACTGAAAAGAGATACAATAACAATCATTTAACCTGAAATCATGCTTTGAGATTTGGTGCTTTGACATAATTTTTTCCAGATATTGCTATCACAGTAGGTAGTCATTTTTAAAACATTTTTGTATTTTTAAAAGTATATTTAGAAATACAATTATATATTTCTAGAAGAGTCTATGTAATACTAAGTATTGGGTACCTATACGTAGAAGTAGAATTCTTAGATTGTTTTCTGCAGCCTGATCTCCCCACCCCCATTTTCCACAGAGCAGGACCTGGAATAATTTCACCCGCAAAATCTACAGGACCTACAACCCAAAGAATGTCATAACAAGTACTCCTATCTCTGTTCAAGTCACCCCTTAGCCACTGGCATACACCACACTCACAGCAACAAACCTGCATTCCAGTTTATTCACAAGACCTTTTATTATGTAATTGCTAATCTTCAGATTGCAATTTTAAATTCACAGCCTCATGATGAAATAATGCGCTTAAAGTTCACAAGGTTTTTTTTTTTTCACCCACTGGATAACAGAACCTAACTAAGGGTTCATTTAACTAAGGGTTTATTTAACTAAGGGTTGCATATTCATTTTCCGTATGGATTCGAAGTACTGGATAAGTGAAATGTTTCAGCCAATTTAACAAATGTGATTAATGAACATTTATTAAATATTTATTACAAGCACAGTGCTTTATAGTGTCATCTAATCCTGAAAACCAATAATATGGCCTGCTTTGGCAGCACATATACTGAAAACCAATAATATGTATTAGTAGGAGTGTTCTCCCTGATGAAAAGCAGTTTCATAGGTCTGTGCCTGATGGCACCTAAAACCCAAAAACATGACACCAAAACACTTCTCAGTGGTGCCCTCACTACTGACATTTAGAGAAGGGAAGTTAGGCCATATGTGATAAAGGGACCTAGTCCTCTTTTCCTCCTGTAAATTCTGTTTTTGGGGAAGTCTGGTATGAATAAAAAGGACAACATGAATGAGATAAAAGGTTTGGTGGTTGGCAGTTCCAGGTGTCACAGGGAGGAGGGACCCCAACATCCAGCCTCAGATTCCCATCCAGGGCAGTTCTGCACCCCTGGAGAGATCTGGCAGTGTCTTATGACACTTCTGATTGCCACAGCCCTGGGAGTATCACCAGCACCAGTGGGTAGAAGCCAGGGATGGTGCTTAAACACCCTACAGTACACAGGACCATCCTCACAACAGTTACTCAACCCCAGATGTCATTCTCCAGAACTTTGGACTCTCACTGCAGATCTCTTGCACCCTGCAGTAAAGCGTGAGAGAAGGTGATGAGGATTTCTTCAGAGGTTCTACCGGCCAGGTGTTCAACAGGTCTTTTAATGTAAATTTAAAAGGTACTCTTCTTGCATGAGCAGAGGAGAAATGATGTGGGTTAGTGATTGTACATCCACAAGGTATATTCAATCCAATTGAGTTTCAAGCGTCACAGCTACTGAGGTACTCCATAGAACACAAGACTGAGTATATCATTTGGTCATACTCTCTGGGTGTCTTGAGATGTTTGGGCAAAGTGCTTAAAAAAAACCCAAATTTTCTTCACTGTGTATGTTTGTGTGTGTGTGTGTGTGTGTGTGTGTGTTGGGGGCTCAAACCTAGGGCGTCACACATGCTAAGCAAGGTGGTCTACCACTGAACTACACCTCTATCAACAAAGTTTTCAACAGTGAACTTACAAACCTAAATATAAGGGCAAAGAATTCCATATTTCCAGATGAAATGTGTATATCCACTGCTCTGTAAAATAGCTCATACTTTCAAACTGTATTAATTATACATTTAAATAAATCCCAAGCATTTTTGAACTCGGTGTATATTTACATATAGGTGTGCTTTAAAGTTCATCATAGGAAATTTTTCTTACCAACTTTTAATCCAACATCTGTAAAACTTTTCCACTTGGCAAAAAAATGCATTTACTACATTCTTCACGGAATTTAATATCATTTTTTGATGAAAAAATTAATAAAACTGTTTTAGACACTTTCTTGTCACTGGGACAAAATAACTCATACTGAAACTTAAAGGAGGAGAGGTTCATTTTGGGTCAGTTACAGTTCATGGTCCACTGGCTCCAAGGCCAAAACTTCACAGCAGAGGGGCAGAGCAGAGGAAAGTTGCTTATGATGTGGCAGTCAGAAGCAGAGAGGGAAGGGAGGAGAGAGGGGAGGGGAGAGGAGGGGATGGGACATACACTTCTAGGTCACACCTGTAGTGACTCTAACCCGGCCCCACTTCCTAAGCACACTCAGGGGATGAATCCACTTATGAGTACGGTGCCATGATCCCATCACCTAATAGCCCCACCTCTTGAGCACATAAGAGTTTTGGGGGGGACATTCTAGATGTAAAGCATAACAAAAACACTTAAAAGATTTGCTGTACCTGTTAGAAAAAAATGTCAAAAACACATTTTTTTTTTTTTTTTTGGGTACCGGGGATCGAACTCTGCTCCTTGCGCTTGCGCAGCAGGCGGCGAAACCACTGAGCTAAATCCCCGGCCCTCAACAAAAAAAAGCACATTTTTAAAGTATTTGGTGGGTAGTTTCATGAAGTGTTCTTTTAAAAATACAATTATAGACCCCGCTGCAGACAGGCAGGTCTGCCCGTGCCCCACCGAGGTCCTAAGTCGCACAGAACACGCCGAATCAGCCCACTGCACACAGGCAGGTCTGTGCGCGCCCTACCGAGGTCCTGAATTGCGCAGAAGACACCAAATCACCCCGCTGCAGACAGGCAGGTCTGTGCACGCCCTACTGAGGTCCCAAGTCATGCGGAAGACGCCGAATCACCCCGCTGCAGACAGGCAGCCACCTGGTTCCACACTACAAAGACGCAGAGGACACCAGACCACCAGACCAAGGTACTGAGTCCCGCTGCTCCCGGC